TCCGAGCTGATGAGGCCACGGTATGATTGCACAACTCAACGCATCCAGAGTAAAAGGAAAATGTCACCGGCCAGAAATAACCAAAGCAAGAAGATCCCCGATGGAGAAACATTCGTCTTTGTGGATGCACCCTTACTGATGCAGTAAGTGTGGGTGTGTTATCTAGCTTTCCCCAGTGACCAGACTCACCGAAGGGCCCTACCAAAAAGCACAATACAACAATCGAAGCTGGAAATGAGGAAAATTCCAAGCCCATGAGCAGCATCCCTGATCACCGCCGCCTTCCTACAGTGCTAAGGGCTGGGGCATGCGGAGCACACCCCACGAAGGAGGCTCGGGAAAGGGAGGAGGGAGCCAGGAGACTAGAGACCGAGCTGGAAACTGAAGCTGCCCTTTCTATCCACCTTTATTAAAAGCCGGGTGAGTTCAGACCGCAGAAGACTGTACGCAGAAGCCCGCTGTGATTGCTACTGTCAACGTGACCTGGTGTTTAGAGATTTTTGACCCATAAGCAGATCAGAATAGCTCACACATCACCGATGCAGCCATACAGCCTTTACTGCAGAAGAAGGGAGGAGTGTGTCTGTCCTTCTCAAGAGCAGAACAGGGCAAGCCGGGTACTACTGAGAGGCCGGTAGAGCGTGAACCCATCTGCTCCCTCTGCCCCTGCTACCAGCACTGTCCTCTGCTAAGAATACAGCGCCAGTGCACAGCTGGTCCCTACCTCCACAGCTGGTCCCGTTCCGAAACCTCAGCACAGGCTCCTGTGGCTCCCAACCACACACCCCATACATTAGTCGTTTGGGAGGTGCATCCATCTCCCCTCGGTGTGTCATCTTGGGGCAGGGGGAAGGGCAAGAGTAATTTATGCCTGTACGAGCCCCGTACGTACGTCTCCTTTTCTCTAAGGGAGTTTGCTCTCATATTTAACCTCTTCACCCTGCTGGCACCGGAGGCGGATGATGCAGTTTGTAGAGAGGTGCAGGCACTTCACTCTCCCCCTCCCCTTGGAATCTTCCTCTCACTTGTGGTCCTTGGGATTCACCCAATGTTTCTCAGAAAAAAAGAGGACCTCAAGACAAGTATGCATTTAATAAGCAGTGAGACAAATAAGCTCCAGTTATCCCAGCAGAATTACAACACCAGAGAACAATTTTCTGCATTCCTCCGAAGGCCTGAAGGAACCCAATTGCCTGCTCTCAGCCTAAATAGGTACCAGACACCAAGTGCTCCATAAGCAAACAGAGCCCCCAAAGTGCAAAAATGAAATAAGTAAAAAGCTTCACATTACATATAAACCAGCCGTTTGCACCTTGTTATTAATGGTCTTGACTATGACCTTTAAACCCTGCCTTGCTCAGAGTCATGGATCTACGAGCCTTGGCACCCTCACAACAATTCCAGGACGAGGAGCAGGGAATAAACAACCCTAGCCCGTGCCGGAGATGCGGGAAGGGAACCAGCCTGTGACAAAGCTGGACCAAGAACCAGCCCAGTGCAGCAGCCAGGGCTAAGGTGACTATCTCCACTGTGAATTTATCAACATACCCTCAGTGACCAGGGTTTCGGACAGCATGAAAAGTCCTGTTGCCATATATATACGTGCATAACAGCTAGTAATGCGTGCATCTATCCCCAGTTTCAAAGCACGAAGGGCTCACGGCATGGTAAATAACCGCAAGAGAGCTCATTCCCTGCAGGATAACTCTGACGGGGTCTGTAAGCCCACACGGACTGGAGTTGCCGGGAGCAGACCCTGTTACCCAGAATGACTTAATTCCTCAGATAAAGTAGGTATATAGGAACAGTACACCTGATGGACATTCGTCAGGCTCAAAGGATTAGTGTGTCTAAATGACATCAAATAGCCAACAGCACTTAGGTATTAACTTCCAAATACTTCATTTGAAGTCAGCCAACATTAGAAAGTTGTTTCAGTAACAAGATAACAAATCATGCTTGTGTGATCTCTCCAGATGCATATGCAATAAAAGTCCTGGATCCACAAACATCTTTAAACACTTCATTAAAATCAGTAGTAAGATAGGGCAAATTCACACAAGAATTTAATTGCCTAATCGCCTCCCGAACAAAAGCTTTACTATCTCTGATAACACTTCCCTCTTCCCTGCCCCTTCCTGTCCTTTTTGGAGATTACTTCTGGAAAAGTAAAAGGTTGGCAGGAAGAAATGCTGCATTCTTCTTCATTTGGATCAAAAATGACTCTGTCGTGACACGGTCAGGCACTGCAAGCAACAAAAAACCCCCAACGTAACTCAAATCCTGCCTAAACGAATCAGAGTATCATTACCCTGTTTTACAAATACACACCTTAGCATCAGGTATATAAATAAATGCTGATTTGCAAGTTCCTTGACTTTCACTGGCTACTCTGAATGAAATGGAAATTTGAGAAGTTTTCTGACATCACATGCAGCCTCATGGAAAGGCGTTTGCCATCGCAATGGCTACAGGATCACGTTGGCACGTGATTCAGGGAAATGGCAACAATCAGTGCTTATCTGTCCCGGGTCATAATTGTCGTTTGTTTAATATATTCATGCAACTTAACTGCATCCAGACTGATGGTATTTCTCTGGTATGGATGAGGTGGTAAGTCCCCACTCCTAAGTGGCAAAGGAATGTTCCTATAAAGCATGAACAATCCTGCTAGGAAATCATAGAGCGCTCCTCCTTCCTCAAGAATCCTGGCACTTCTAGAGAGACAGGAAGATTTTCATTACATAGGCTGTTGCCAGCTATACTTTCAGCATAAGCCCATCCCCTTTCTCTTACTGTTATGTCAGGGGAGGACAGTGAAAGAAAGCAGCTCTTGGGATGATACATGGGAGGCAGCGCTTCATTTATAACCCCACACAAATGCTGGAAAATGTTCAACTTTAAAAAGCATTAGGTTGGTTACCTTATGGGCCCCTGCGGACCAAGAAGTGAAATTACATGAACACAACATATCTATTAATCACCACAATGATTCCACAGCCCCAGTGGCATACGTTCAACTGGAAAGAACGTTGAGAAAGTTACCTGCTCGTAGTTAGGCAACTCAGAAAAATTTGGTAGTACCTTTCTTCGTTCTACCTGACTCCTCAATGAATTCGAGTAGTTAACTTGGATTAAAGCCCAGTCGACAGAAATATACAGTGGAGAGTAACAATGGCATTTCTACCTAAACACGTGTGTTTCAGCCAGAGTTACAAATAAACTACGCTTATATGAGATCCATAGGTGACCATCCGCTTCACAGGACTTCATTTACAAGGTGAAGAAGGATTTGGAAAAATAGGAAAAAAACCCCCAAACATTCTCAGTTTTCTGTGTCAAGAGAGATTACAGATCAATTCAAATTGACCTGTAATTGATTGATTTAGGTATTATTTCAGAGAATGGAGTACGCTACAGCAAGCTTCTTCCATCCAGGATTTAGAAACCAGAATAATTTTCACCACCCTTGAAAGAAGCCATCAACATCATAACTTACACCAATCCTTCACATAGATTAGTGAAGATTAAACACGTAAAATCTCCCTAGTAACTAGTTACACAGGTAAGTGTATGTGTTTATCTGTAAAATGTAAGACGATGGACCACCTTTCACGTGCTCAGAATTAGCATTTATCCACAAGCCTGTGCTATTTTTATCACCTCCACCTTTAAGAAGCATTGGCTAACATGACTCACTCTGCTTCCTCAATACCGAGCAGCAGACCCGCATGTGAAAAAGTAGACATTTTCTCTAATGGGGGAGAGTGGAAACGGAGGTCACACCAATTACCTCAAACCACTTGGCTGCCACAGCCATCTTTTCACCTTTGCAGTAAACAAACCCTTGCGGCTGGTCCGTATATGAAGCTATTCCTTTGAAGAGCGCTCCACATCTCGGTTCTCTTCAAGTCTGGATATCAACAACGACAGTACTTTGGAATAACACTTGAAAGTTTAGGTCTCCCAAAAAGACTCCCATGCAGATAGCACAATCGCTTTTGGCAGTTTCAGGAACCATCCTGTTCTTCAAGGTGAAGTGGTTTGAAAGACAAAAGATGCACAATTAAATCTAAAGAAGTAACAATATGAAATAGAGGAGTTTATACTACCATTTCCTTACATAATGCAAGCTTATAGGATACAGAAGAGCAAATCTGTGTTTGCGCACTATAATCCATATTAAACAGACGCTTAAGAAGTCAACAAACTCAATGTGTTAAAAAGCAACCTTTTAATAAAGAAAGCAGAACCATACTTTGCTGTTAACAAATATTTTGAAAAAGGCTTATAAAATTAAATCTAAGCCAATTATCTGGTGCATCTGCAGCTGAGAAGGAAGTGTCAATACTCCAAACATCTGCTCAGTGTGTGTCCTCCCCTTTCTTACAGAGGAAGTGCTAGCTTCCAGTTGTACAAGCAATTAAGAGAGCAATAAGATATCGCTCAACAAAAACTATTTTCTTAGATGATTACAGACTAAGGCCAAAGAAGAAATTCATAAGTTAAGCACCATTACTAACATGGAAGCCTGTCAAAGACACCAGTTTGAATAGCACAGCTTTCTTCCTAGCTCCCACGCCTAGGGGTCAGCTAACCTCTGGGGAGAAGGCTCGTGCCAACGACGAAACCAAACCATCATGGACAGCACACTCCAGTCACTGGAGTCGGCTCATGCCAGAGACTGGACAGCAGGAGGACCTCGATGTTTCCCATAGCAAAGCTGAAGGCCAAAGAGTCCCAAAGCACTGGAAGAAACAGAATGCAACAACAAATCATTTCAGTTTCAAAAATGACATCCTTTCATAGCCTCAAGGCACGAACAAAAAAACACCCTGTATCTTTCCCACAAGGCAACAGAGCTACGATCCCCTCATCACTGACGCCACGCAACAAGCTTGTAGTAACCATTAAATATTAGAAAAGACACACAAAAGGAGAAAAAACCCTGTGGGAAGCCACGGCTCCAGCCTTGTCCACTCACCCCCGGCACGGTCTGCTCAGCTGGAGGCCAGAACGCTGGGAGCACTCACCGGCCACAGCACCCGCAGCACCTAGGCAGAAGCAGGGTGGGTTAGGAGGGCGTTTCTCTGTGCTACACCTCTTCCAGCTGCTCTGAGCGCTGCACCTTCACTGTCGAACAGACTGGGAGGAGGGTAGCGCATTTTCTTGGATATTCAGGCATGGATTATTTATAGGTCATCGACTGAAATGTGTGAAAACTGAACAGACCATCCACCAAGACACCGGCCTGTGCTTCCAGACAGGATCCATATTCTAGATGCCATCTAAACAGTTCCAGAAATAAAGATTAGGCTAAAACAAATGGTGCAAACTCCCCTGCACCTTCTCAACCCATCCCCCAAGTATTCCGCTGGGACTCGTGTTATCCTCGTACAAACTCTCTTTTCATGAGGCAGCAGTGACAGGACTCATTTACTTTGAGGGTTTTACTTTGGCCCTCCTGGCTTATATCATAACCTGAAATATTACATTAAAAAGGCTTTTAAAACCTAACATTCACAGCAGTGCAGGAGCTTTTCATTGCAGCTAGCTTCTTCCCTGCCTGTTTGCGTGTGGCACCTTCACATTAAGTGCATGAGTTAAGATGTAGATTAGCAAGGCAAGAAACCTTTGCCCTTGGCATAGACACTCAGCTGTGACAGGAAACTTCAGGCTTTTTTTCTATGAAGTGTAGAACCACTCATTACACATTGGCAGGGAAGTGCACATCTCCAAACTATACACATTTTCTCTTAGATAAGCAAAAGACTCAAGTGTTTATAAATATGAAAAGTTCAGCAGCTGGCTAAAAAGTTAATTCTCCAGTCTCACTTAATGAGCTTTGGGGAAAGTGGTAGGGGGATTTGTTCAGAAAGTAAAGCAGAGTGTCACAGAAAGCAGGACTTGCCAGACAGGGCTCTGTTTAGTCCTACTTTCTGTCTCTAGATGGCTGCTATCAGCAAAATGGCAAGGAATCCTCTAACGGGGAGCTATGGAACAACCAGAATGAGAAATCTTTTCTCCTAATCTTGCAATCATAAAAATTAGCAGATTTTTAATTCAAGTCCCATGACTTCTTTCTTTGTTGTGAAAATATCAAGCAATCCGTATCAAAGCACTTTGGAACATGGACTGTCTTCAGATTTTGTCCCATTCCCTGAACAAGGAAGTTGTTTTCAGTACCCCTCCTGCCATATTTTTTCCAATACTTTAGTATTAACTAATAGTCGTCTATTCCAATAGCCTAAGGTTTGGACTTAAAAAATGGGACTGATTTCCTCGGAAGGTAAGTACGTTGGCTGTTCTCAGGAACTTCTGAGCAGACTACTGACAGTGCCTGCTGTCACTCTGCATCTCTAGTTTTCTTGAAGGCAGACTTCTCGGTGTCTTTATAAGATATTACAGAAGGAATTGTGCAACATTGCTTTTGCAAGATAATACACAGCTAACCAATTCTCCACCTGTGTCATTATTAAAAAATAAAAATTCATCCTGAATGCAAAAATAATGACACCCTTTTGTCTGCAGTTTCAACAGAAGTTGTTTTATGTGACAGAATATTTTTCAGCTTGCTCAGTGAACTGTCTAGATTATTGTCATCCCTTTTACATACCTCCTCCCTTCTGTCACTTATTGAGAAGATTCTGAACAGTAACTACTTAAGAAACAGAGCTGTCTCTAATGATCAAGAGCAGAGTGATTCTCCAAGAGATCAGAAACAAACAGCAAGGCTGAGCTCTTACTCACTCGTACTGCGGGTCACACGCAGCTGTCTACCACCGCCTATTCCACTGTGCCCCCCGGCACTGACTCACGGTACATCTTCCCTTCCTCAAAGAACGTTAAAACTCCGAGTTGCACAGCTGGCTCTAAGCAGAGCAACAAATGCTAAGGACTTCTGCCAGCACCAGTCCCTAGAGCCTGCAAACCCTTCCACCTGCGCACGACAGAACGAAAATCCCTCTGGCGCCTGGTCCCAGGGCCCAGCAGCGCGGAGGCAGGGCTGCCTCCCCTTCCAGAAGGAGCCGACTCGCAGCCGGTGCCAGGGCTCGGCTCTGTTGATGGTGTATTACGCTGTATATGTTGGAACTAGTAAATGCTTCATTGTGATTTTTGGCCACTTGGAATATTTTTAGCAATTTGCCAACGTTTACCCTGTGATTTATTATGGAGGAAACAAACTCAAGCACTAACAAATGAAAATATGTAAACTCTGGCTTTTCAAGTCAATAGAAAGGTATTCAACTTCTTAAAACCCTTTAGGAGGCATGCTGTTTGCTGTAGATTCAATTGCTGGAAACAAGAGTTTGATTAAGAAGCAACTGAAATGTAATCTAAGTAGTCATATCTAAGTCTCTTAGATATTTATAGTGAAAAAATCCATATACACAATACTTTCCAATTGTCATTCCTAAAACTGTGTTCTAGATTTGCTGGAAATTCAACAATTTGTTGGAAATATATTTTGTATCGCTTTCTCACTAAGGCCAAAGCACTCCAGGTATCTACCATCTAGAACTTTACTATCTCAAATTACTACATTTAATAAGTTAAATCAAAGCATCATGAAAAAAGAACTGAAATCATGAAATACACAGGGGAAAAAAATCATTTAGAAAGTTTAAAGCACTGGAATTACCTGCAGATATAACAGTAGATACAGCAAATAATTATTGTTTTATTACAGTATTCTTGGGTAGAGAGGGAGGTGTCATTAAAGAGAAGGTAAACTTCCATTTTTAGTATGAAAATCCAACTAGATGCTACTGCCACATCCCTCCAGAACACAAGACAGAATGCTTTATAAAGTGCTACCAGCCATCACAGAGTTATCTATAGCTGAAATACTGAAGCAATCTATTAATAAAATCATAAGTGTTAGTTTGATATTGAATAGCATTGTTTCTTACAAGTTTTCTGAAAGCTTCTGAAAACATCAGGAATGGGACCAACAGTACAATAATCTAATAATTAAAATAAGGAACAATATTAGTCATAAGAGTATGATTGGAGTTACCATTAATTCTACCTAAAATAGCAGAATACTGAAGATGGTATTTCCTTCCTGGCCATCAATCTTGAGAGATTAAACAGACAAGAAGTGAATTCTGCATTACCTCAACACACTTTTGCAGTACAAAGCTGGCAGAGTGAGTGGCAAGAACCCCTCTGTGCCTGCCACCACCGTGACTTGGTTGGCAGAATGACGCAGTGACATGCATGCTTTTTGATCAGCTTTTCAGCTGAACAGACACTATCTACCCTTCCCTATAGAAAATAAGTGATATAAACATACTGTCAAATGACCAAACCCTGGGAGTTTTTTCCCCACATTTGGACATGTCACTTGGCATTCATAATGCCATTATGCAAAGCCAACTAACTCGTACAAAGTCTTTTTTGGTTCAAGAAACCCAGCAGAGAGAACTTCACCAAGCAATTCTTTGTTAGCATAACATTTGACCTTGTATCTCTTTGGAAATCATACAACTTTGCTAATGCAGTCCTTACAGAATTAATCAAGCAGATAGTTAGACCCTAGTTACTATGAACCCAGCCAATTATGAGCAGCACTGAAATTTGTCACTGGCATGTCCAACATTTTCCAACACAAAGATCAACAGAACCGTGTGGAAATGAGGCCCCACTCTCAGACCTGCATGATTTGGACATTGTGGACTAGAGTCGCTAGCAAAGCCAATGCTTTTAGGAACAAACTATTCTTAAGAGAAAAGGCTTACCTCCTGGGTCTCCATTACCTGCTGCATTAGAACAGCAAGAAAGCATAACGCCTTTCACCCTCTATTTTGACTAGTAAAGCTAGAATAAGTGATTCATTGAGAGTTCAGAGTTCTTTATTTGCTGCTCTGCTCTACTGCATGATATCCACAGTTCAATAAAGGCCAAATAGACTGCACGGCTTAGTGGCGAGGGGAAGCTGCCTATGCAGTTTCTTCTTCTGTTGAAGTAAGACAGCACAGCTTTCAGAGTCCAGGGAAAGATGACAAGGTTATAGCCAGCAATGCTGACAGATAAGCAAGGAAAAGAAACCCTAAAAAGGGCAGAGCAGAGAGGAGGAGGAAGCAGATGGGCACAGAAGGCACCCACAGGAGCAAACGGCTCAACAGCACCTATTTAGATATATTTAAAGCAGCACAGATTAGAAACACATCTAGCTAAAAGCCATCACCAAGTCCAATTTCTGCCCTTGAACAGGTACTCCAATGACAGAACCGTGGTCACTGAACACGTTCTCCAGCTAGTAACTGGAACCAGATGAGACATAAAACCATTGGTCTAGTTCCCAAAAGGTAAGTGACAGCTAAATAACTTCTGAGCCTGGCTTGGAAGTTAACAGTTACTTTGCCTCTGTTCTCGTCTGTTCCATTCACATCATACTAGCTTCCAGCACTCAGCAAGAGATGTGTTTTTCCGACAGAACCGTGGTCACTGAACACGTTCTCCAGCTAGTAACTGGAACCAGATGAGACATAAAACCATTGGTCTAGTTCCCAAAAGGTAAGTGACAGCTAAATAACTTCTGAGCCTGGCTTGGAAGTTAACAGTTACTTTGCCTCTGTTCTCGTCTGTTCCATTCACATCATACTACTAGCTTCCAGCACTCAGCAAGAGATCTGTTTTTCCTGCAGCCCAGCCTGCCTTTTACTCACTTCTCAAAATCTCTAGGCAACAAATTTATTTTCTGAGGTTCTCACACTGCAGTCTTCCGCTTCTATGAGAATAAAATCCATGTGCTCTGTGGCAAAATTTCTCTGGTGTTGAAATGCTGCACTCTCACCATAAGAGAGCAAATTAAAGCCATGGTATGTTATAGTAATAGTTCACCTTCTTGTCAAAATAGACATTTTGCCCAAATTTCAACAAGTGTTTGTCTCCAACTAGATTCTTACAAAAGGGGATAAAAGAATCCATGCTCCACAAGCATGAGACTGACTAGAGCCTACTTCACCATGGACCTCAAACCTCCCAAAGATCCCCCAAGTTACCTAAGCAAGCCCCATGAGAGACAAAATACTCACAGCTTTAGCAAAAATGACCATCAGCTCGGGGAACTGGTGCGTGAGGAGGGCAAGCATTGCCGAAAAAGAACATAGGCCTGCTGTGAAATGGATGAAAAAGGGAAGTTCCTTCTGTGGGTAAACGGAGACTTCGTGAAATGCTGAAAGGAAAAAAATGAAGAATATTCACATTTGATAATCCAGGACAGTTTTCTGAATTATTTACACAGCCTTGTAACTCAGTTCTAGACTTCCAGGAGGAGTAAGTGTGGACTCAAGACTATTGTGCAGCAGATGTTAGGTCCCAGTACTTAAACTTCTGAAAATGTTTCCCCTACATTAAATGCTTGTCTTCATTATTAATAGTCATTACATCTTTCTCTTCCCAATCTTCCTTTCACTTGCATGGGCTTTATTTTTTGAAGCAGTTCATCAGGCTTAGTTTTTGGTAACTACTCTTTATTCAGGACAGAGGGAAGCACTGTAAAATTCACAAGCTATCAAAATCACCTACACCAATTGAAACAATTCAGGTGTTTCCAACCCTCTGAAGTAGAATCCTGTTACCTGAAGAGCACATCTCCCCATCCTATAAGAAGCTCAGCAAGTATAAAACAACCATCATGGCGCATATATATATACACACACGTATATGTGAGGTAGCTCCTTAATACTTTCCAAAGATTTCTGGTTGGTAAGCTACAGTAAATTTTTTCAGAGCAGCTGACATAGTAGACCTCAAAGAAAACAGTACCAGGACTAGGTTATAAATTCTGTACATAGCAGCTCCTTGCAATTTCCAACCTATGGTAACAAAATCAAAAGAAGGTGATTAGACGGGCTAAGGGCTGGCATATGGAGCTTTCAGCACTCCAGACACTACTACTGGTTACTAGCCGAGGACTTGTTTGGTGAATTTGCAATTACTTACTGGCTCTGAATACCTGCAGCTCTGACTTTTATCCAATGGTTTTAAAGGGATTTTAAATGAAGAAAAAAATAGTTTCTGTAGACATAAGTAATTATGAAAGGGCTGCACACTTCTGACAAGCTGTTTTTAAAAATCTAATAAAAGCCTCAAAATGTAAGTACGCCTTTTTGTAAAACAAGAAAATACAATTGTATTCATTTTTAAACTTAAGTTTGAAGAGGAAAAAGACCCTTTACCCTCCCAGTTACTGTTTCTGAATGCTGGCAGATGAAACTACCATTACAAGACCAAGCCCAGCAAAAGTGGCTTGTGCTGTTGCAACTCATTAATGGCAAAGCGCTTGGAGTTCGGTTTGAAGTATATGATTTTGGAGCAAAACTAAGTAGATCATACGAAGTTCCATGTCTAACGCCCATCAGAGATGTTTAATTTTATCCCAGAGATTATCAGTTCACCTTCTTAATGTGCAACTAGCCCTGCTCGGCCATAATATAGTACAATAGTGACACACTGCACTGAGCAAGCAAAAAAACCACTTGTCTACTAAGGAACACTGTTATGCTCTCATCCTATGTAGAAACTCACCTGATTTTTAAAACATGGAGCAACATAATTTAGGAAAGGTCCCAACATAAGCTAAGAAAGTGTGAAAAAAAAAAACAAACCAGGAAGGATTCTTTTTGCACTAGTTTTTCCCCTACATTGGGAAATTAAAATGAAATCTGAAACAGATAAGGACAACTAAAGATAATTCTATACGTTCACAGCCATTTGAGAATTGTTACTCGTCAGACCAATTTTTTGAATCATTACTTTGGTCAATGTTATTTTAAATAGATAAATTTTTAAAAAATTAAGTGTCAAGATTTCACGAGGAAGTACTGCAATAAAAGTGTTAAGATGATTTTATTTATGGGTTATTTTATATTTAAAACATAACAGGAATGCGCGAGTGATCGTGTTGAAATATCTGCATGTGTTGGTGTTTAATTATGCTGGGAAGTCTACAATTTAGGGTTAGTTGCTAACCAAGGAATTCCTTGTGCAATATCCTGCATAAGTGAGAAATGAGTAATTTAAAGCAGTCTGGGGGCAAATTTAAATTACACATTTTAAATATAACTTCAGGCTTTTAAATAGAAACACGTATGTGTAGTTTTCCTTTCCACAGCTGTGGTCTCAGTGGGTCTGCTGGTGCTTTTGCAGTAGCCCTTTCCAGTCCCGTGGGACTTGCATTTCTTCACAACGTACAAGTTCACCCCCAAAGGAATTCTATTAACATGTACAATTAACAGTCCAATTCTAACCGAAATTAATGCTACCTTCAAAATATGATGAGCACAGGCCCTAATGATTTAGTTTGTTTGCCTTACCTAAAGAAAAAAACATGCAGGCTCATAATTGCACAAAGCAATCTTTAAGTAACGGGCAGCTGGAAAAGACTTACCGTTCAGTGTCAAGTGTTAGTATAAATCCATAAAAATACCTACATGGATAAAGTGTCCCAGGAAGAATACTGTCCAGCAGACTAATACGTACCAATGAATTAACGACAGAAAGCAATACATATTCTATGAAGCTATAGATTAACCAAGGATTCTCTGTCAGATCACGGACAGGTTCTGCTAGATACCTGAGCACAGGACTGGAACCATGCATTTATTCCTTGCTAAAAGGAAACAGCTCTTCTACAACAGTAGTCAAATCCATGACTGCTTTTAAAAGTACTTCAAAGAACTGGTCCATTTTGTTGTTCTCGAAGTTGGCCAAACTTAGTCTGAACGTACCACACACAGACTTCATCTTTGAAGGACTTACGTTATTACCGAATCAAGCTAACATGTACCACACACACGTCAAGTGCTCCAGGATCGTTTGGGAGGGACATCAACAAATAGCTCAATCCCCTTCACAGGAAGCTCAAACTAAAAAAATCACAGTAAGGTAAATACAGAATACCACAAACTGAACATGTCCTCAGCTTATGTTTTATTATCATTACTGCTTAGAAACCACTTACTTGGCAACAGTTCTCTGTCTGCTGTTTCTGTGCAACTCGGATAGGGATAGAAAAGATGACCTTTCTCTAACGGGTATGGGATCATCCTAAATGCTGAAAAAAGAGTGAGTGATGTTAGATCTGTATCTAAATCAAGTGACCAGCTTCTCACAAAGAGAACCAATCGTGTTTGAGGTGAATAAAGGCAGAGAGATTAGTCTACTGTACAGAAAAAAAGAAAACGAGGAGAGATACTTACTGCCTTCCCACGTACAGTGTAGCAGATTTAGAGCCCCTTCTATCCTCTTCCAATGCTGGAGGTGAAAAAAAGCATATGCTACTGCCTCACTGTCCCCTCGTTTCAGAATATGCTCTGGAGGTAGCACTAAGCTTTTCATTTCTAGCAAATACTGAAAGAAAAACGGGAAGCATGCTCGGTTACATGGAATATTCCAAAATCTTTGATTGTGAAACATAAATGATCATTTGAGGAATAACTGAGCATACCGCAGAGGGGCCAAATTCTACCTGTTTCTTCAACAGCCCAATCGTGACACAGTGCATACAGCCTGCACTCACATGGGACGTGAAAAGTAGCAAAACACACATCCGTGTATGACTTTTAAATTGTGGGTTTCACACACAACATATCAGGAAAAAATGCATCTTCAGTAAGACAAAATAAAAACATGTTCTTGAGGAATATACCTAAAGTATAATGCCACAGGTATAATACCAATGAGCTACAAGTTTGGGCTAATAAAAAAAACCCCAAACCAATGGTATTTTTGCTCATCATTTAATCACTGAAAGTTTCAATGTAGGAGGCTAAGTACTTGTTAGCTCTCAAGTATGAGTAGCAAACCAGAAAGTGTCAGTATGCTAACCAAAGGAAGAATAATAAACCAAACCCAGGAAAATCTTATTGTAATGTGGTTTTGATGGACTACCACAAAGCATCTCTGATTTCAGATTTTTTCAATTTCAGTCTTCTCTCTACATCAGCAGAATATCTGATGCACAGAAGGGTCAAACAACACAAGGATTAATCATCTTCCATTTCCCTTGAAACACAGGACATGCAATTTTGTTTTCTCATGGTACATTGAAAAAGGACAGGTATTCATTTTAACTTAGCTTTTAAAAACAGATGAGTAATTTTTACAAGAATGAAATGACAGTTTCAGCTCTAGTATTTACCTGCGAGTTGTTCTCTCCTAGCATGTAGTGTCTCATTCAATAACAGCCAAAGTTAATCCACACCTTTGATCAATGTAGCTGGCAATTCCTTTGACTGTCTCCCAAAGTGTAAGAATGCAGCTAACTCACCGATTTATTTCAGCAGATGCCACAAACTATGAGATTATTTACTAATCCAGTTTGAGGACTTAACTTTTCCCATTCAGATTCTTGAAGGAATGTAGGAGGGGTTGTGCCCCGGCCAAATAAAGCACATTTACTGCCTGGCTAGGTTCTTCTCTTAGTGCCTTGGGCCTACACTCCAGAGGGTAATATTCTTGCTAATCCTCTCTAATCCTCTTCAATTTTTTTTAATTTTTTTTTTTTTTTAACACAGTAAAGGATCACTCACACAGGGCTGCTGTGGGAAAATGGTCTCAAATATCTGACCCTTGACCTGACTCCTCCTGCTCTCCGCAGCACCCACTTTTCAACGGTACCAACTGCGCAGAGCAAGGCGAGACAAAGGCAGCAGCGGTGATGAAACCCCACTGCAAGCATTGCCACAACGTTGAACTCCACATTTCAGCTGTCTCTGCACCCATGTTACTGCATAAACAGAAAAATTCCACAGCTTGGCAGCTTTTCCTGTCCGTGCTTAGCTATAAAACAGGCAAGGTATCGGTACTGAAAATATCTTGGGTTTTGCAGATCTAAGAAAATTTTTATACACAATTTGTAAGATGTTCAGAAGACGACTGGAAAAGATTGTTGCATGCATTACCAAAATGTAATTACAGATCTCTCATTTTGAAATGACTTAATAGTACCAGTGTTCTAGCACTGTAAAATGCCTTCCTAACTTTATAAACAAAACAACCCATCCTTGTAAGAGCATTAACTCAGAGCAAAAAGAAACAAACGCTGCTTTATTTTCCTTATGCAAAATGCTGTTATGTGCAAAGACAACCACTTTCATCAGATGCAAAACAAAGGGCTTTCTGCTTTACATACTCATTATTTTTTAGTCCATGGGACAGAACAGACTGCAAATTCAAAACCCAGCTTTTCTTGCCCACTAATCCACTGTAACCCATCGGGCAAGTTACTTCAGGTGTTTGGACCCTTGTTCACTTGTTTGCTTTGACCATGAGCATTTCAGAGCTCTAGGTAGCCAGCAGAAATAAAATTTTGCCCTACCATCTAATAAATTGGTGTTTCAAGGCAATATTGTAACAAAAAAAATCATGAAGAAAACTGGATAGGTATACAACTAGAAGAGAAGATCAAACCACTGAAACCTGGAATCAGTTTCTGTTATTGTCTGTAGAACTACAGAACATATTTTGCAAACAGCTCGTTTGAAATGATATCTAACTTCTTTAAAAAGGTACATGAGGGTCCTGAAACAACTGGAGGATATACAATATAAAAGAACTTTTAGATAATGATAATGCGCTATAATCTTCTTCCCCTAAAGGCAGAGGCTAAAGAACAATCTGTCTGAGACTGTCTGAAATGAACTTGCTACGCTCTTGATCAGTCATGCAAACAAGCAGCAATTTCTCCGAGCAATTAGCTTTCTCAGTGCACATTCTATTAGACTGGACAGGCAGACAGAATAGAGCGGCTGGATAATTCGAGCCTTCACAGCAACAGTCATTCGGACTCCACGATCATTTGCAGAGGATTAGGTCCAGGACTAAGCCAACCTTCTGCATTCAAGGTTTCAAACCGAATGCATCACCAATACTAGGACAGTAAAAATATTTTATTTTTACCCAATGCTCAGTGGAATCCATATCCTGGCCACTTCAAGTAATGCCAGACATTAAATTACTGTAGCAATACTGACTTTTAATCTTGTTTACATGTGGATGAAGAAAATAAGTAACTGCAGCTCCTTCGATGACCAGAGTTCTGGAGCCATGCTTGGAAGCACAGCAGAAAGAAGTATTTTCAAATACTCTGAGTGGTTATTGTTTGGAGAACTTAATTTGGCTTCAGGGATTTTAAATATCTAAATTTATATTTACTGATGCTTACCCTTACCCAATAAAGGGCCTTCATTAATACATTACTGGCTTTTCCAGCAAGTTAGAAAATTTTGAGTTTGAGTATTTTTGATCATCCCCTATTGCAAACTACTAATTCGGGCCACCAAACACTTATGATATAAATACCAGTGTGTTTAACAACTCAATGGCTGGAGTTATAACCAACTTCAAGAAAACATGAGACTAGAAAGGCTCCAATAACAAGATGATAACGGGACTTTTTTCAGAAGACAATAAAAAGTAGTCCAATAGGAAATAAAATACTCTTACCTTTGGAACATGCGGGTTAAACTCCACAGCTCTGTGAATTGCTTCCACAGCATTAATTTCTGCTGTACTAAGCCCTCTTTTGGAGGCAGTTTCTGGGGAGAACCTGAAGGGAAAAAACCATGCTGAACAAAAGTAATAAATGCTAACCAGGTGTTTATTTGCATTGTACGCTTGGAGTTCATTAAAAATTGACTGATTTATCAAGAAAGATAAACAAACCTTTCCAGGACACAAATGTTCATGTTAATTTTGGTATCTTGACTGTCATCCATGCCCCTCTGACAAAGTTGTGTTTAACTTTTTGAAACTTCCTGTCAATCAGGTAAGGTAATTGAGTGCCCAGGCTTTTGTAAGACAGTTACAACATCACCTACTCAGAGGTAAAGCTCAAATCAGCTGTGCAAACAGACCACAATGAAAGTGAAATGCCAGCATGAACTACCACAAATATCCTGCACCC